CCACCATTGGATAGAGCGAAGAAAACTGTATCTAATGGACACGAAGATCTGACAAGATTTGGCGAGTTTTGATGCCGAAAAAATGCAGTCTTCGTAGGAGGTATACATAGTCAAATCCAAATTCAAGTCAAATCCAAATCCGGTCAAATCCAAATCCAGTCAAACCCTGTCAAATCCAAATCCCAACTCCAGTCAAACCCAGTCAAATCCAGGAATTGGATTTGGCTGGATTTGGATTTGGTGCACCTCTAAATGCCAAAAATAGCAAAAGTTAATATCGTGAAAGCACTTTCAGCGAAATTTTTTTCCTTCAAGAGCTCAAGTTATCTTTATATAATGATCACTCATTATGCGAAGTGCGTCCAAAAGTAGCGACTGTTGCCTATGTTTCTCTATCCTGACCAGGGTAGGCATGCACCAAAGCCAAATCCAATAAAGTCCAAATCCAATTCTTTGTTTGGGTTTGACTGGGTTTGACTTGGATTTGGATTTGGGTTTGACTGGATTTGGTGCACTCCTAGACCAGGGTGTGGGGTGAGGGTGTGAGTGTGGGTGCAAATGTAGTTGTTGGTGGATGTTGGGTTCCGAAAATGTGACTATACACACCCACACCCATACCTACACCTACGCTCACGCCCACACCCACACACCCACACCCACACCTTTTTTTGATCTTTTAGGCTCCTTTCTCTTTGCATCAACATTTCGTAAAGTATTTTTTATACTAAACACTATGAAACTATTAAAACTTAATATTGAGATCATATATTTACAGTCTGTCTTGAACACTGATATATAAATCAGGTGATTTTTCGGTAAAATCGATTTCTAATACTTATTTTTTGTTTTTCTCAAAATCAATTTTTTCGTGAATGCAGTTTACGCGGACAGGTTTTTCTCCATAGCGACTCGATATGGAAGTGATAGTTTTTTTTATTATACAGGAGATATGTAGGGCTAGGTAATTATGGAGTCAGATTTTTAAATTTCCCATATATAAAACCTTATCAGGTTTTCCGAATTGGCCGTATAAACACTGGCTAGGAACGTTGTCAGATAGTTCGAGGTTGCGCGCGCGTGCGTGAATACAGTAGAAACGAGAGTATAAAGCAATCGAACCGCATTTATTGAGAAGCAAAGAAAAAATAGCATTCGCATAGTGTTTTAAGCATTTGAGACAATGTTAAATTTTTGTACTCGATGATTATTGGTATCGACGACATAGAGATTGCCATGTCGATCGAATGACAAACCGAAGGGCCAATAGAGTTGATTCGATTGTTCTCCTACACCGTTTCCACCAACAATGACACTTGCTTCTGCAGCTCCTTTGGGCCAACGCATGAATCGATTATTTCCTGTCTCAGTCACATAGACATTGCCTAATTGATCGACAACGACTCCTCGAGGATATGACAATTTTGTAAGACTATTTCCTTGTCCTTCACCACCAGCCACGATAATGCCTTGTGTTGCACCTTCCATCCATTTCATCACACGATGATTATTCCAATCAGATATATAGACTGATTGATTTCGATCGACGAATACGTATTGTGGGCCATCGAGTTGAGTGAAACGATATCCACTTCCATTGCCACCTGCAACCACTGTTCCTTCCGATTCTCCTCTTCGATATCGTCTCACTTCATTTTTTCCAAAGTCAACGATATAGAGAGATCCATTTTCGTTCATTGTCAAACCCCAACAATCGATGTTGGAGATGATTGTTTCTCCACTTGTCCCATTTCCACGAGGCCATCGAACCACTCTTCTATTCGCTTAATCGCAGATAATGAGACTATCTGTCTCTTTGTCAACAATCACATCCAGTGGATAAGCCAATTGATGAGCCTCGCTTCCTACTCCATTTCCACCGGCAACCACTTGACCATTTGTCGCACCTCTTTTCCATTCCACAATACGATGATTCGCTTGATCAGCGACATAAATTATTTGTTCATCATCAACAAACAAACCATATGGATTCTTGAGTTGATTAGTTCCAGTGCCATCTCCATTTCCGCCAGCGACAGTGACACCATTCTGTTCCCAATGAGCATTTGGATGAATGTCAATGGCGCTTCCACGTAATGGACGAACT